ATAGTACCCCCCCACCCAACACACTTAAGCTCGACATTGCCTTCAGGCGTAAAAGAAGGAGGTAGAATGATGTTACCGGATAGTGGTGAATGTTGGTGTTCGGGAGCGGAGGGCGGGTGAGATCCGTAAGAGCTTGGAGGCGGAAAAACAAAAGGTCGACTTATTGAAGCCAAAAGAAAACACACTGTTGATGTTTGGGTTGCCTCCCACCAAGTGCTTCTTTGACGTCATGAGTCGGACGGTTGCTCTTCAAGTTTCGGTCCACCCAAGTACCTCCTTGAATTTGAGGTTCTCGTTGGTGAGGTGGTGTATCAAGTCACGAACTTTGGACGAATCCATGATTGAGGGCTCGTGAACTTGAGTTGTCATGAGGCTCCACCCACGAGACCTCTCCTTCTTTCTTCTTCGTTCTCTTTGCCCTATACCATATAGTGCAAACTCGATTGGCTTCCATCGCATCCACCAAGAGGGATCACCGATGGTTTGGACTTGGATTGGCAAAGAGCCGCAAATGGGTCCTTCTCCAAAAGTGCATCGAGGTCGGGTGGGAATATTTCTATAGCACTTGTAACTTGTGGATGCTTCATCCACCCCGACCTCGTCCTCATCTTGGACACCACTGGCTCCTTCAACTTCTTCCTCAACCTCACTTCCTTCTTCTTCTTCAATTTCCTCCCGTTGGGAAGGATCAAGGTATTCCCCTTCTTCGATGCTCACTTCCTCCTCTTCAACCTCTTTTCCGACCTTCCCATTCATGTATTCAAGCACGGTTTGGAGGGCAAGATGCCATGCAAGATCATAGAAAGGATTCTCTTGCTCCTCCACACTCGTGACTCGGTCTTCAAAGTTTCTCTCGGGAAGGGGGAAAGTGATGAGAGTCGTCAATGCAACCTTCTTGTTCATCTTCACCACGGGAGCTCCCAGAGGTGAGTTCGTCTTGCTCCACATGGTTGTCATTGATTGCCCCTTCAACCTCCTCTTGCTCTTCCAATTGTGAGAGGCAATATTGTGCACAAGCTTATGCCACCTTCTCTTCTAATGTCAAACCGGGAGGAGGGAGGGGCTGGAAATCCATGTCGGAGTTAATTCTTCCAAGGGTCTCATGGCTTGCCTCTTCGACCTCCTCTTTTTCTTCTTCAAATGGCTGGAGGCGATTGCGAGCAAGTTGTGCACATGCTTGTTCAACAAGCTCTCCTTGCCCCTTCGTGCGTTGACGGAGCTCCTCCGCCTCCCGAAGAAAGGTTGAGTCGATAGGGCCGGCGATGGGAAGGTCCAAATTGGAGCATCCCTCGTCGGTACCTCGGAAAAATTTCTCCACCATGAGCTCTCAGTTTCTCTTTGGCTCTGGTTGTGGAGTGGCACATGGTCTTGATGATTGTCCCATGAAGGCTTTCATGGCCAAATCCAACTTGGATTTCTCCTCGGTTTGTGGAGGGAAATATTCTTGATATGGGGAAGCCTCTTCATATCCACAATGGTATGGTTGTTGTTCTTGGAAGGGGGGTTGGTAATAAAACCTGGATCCTTGGCTTCCCCCTTCTTGTTCGCCACACGAAGCTCCGGGGTACCCCCATTCGGGTGGTTGTGGATACCCCCACATATTGTAGAAGCCATTGGGATCCATGATTCATAACCTACACAAACAAAAACACAAAAACAAAATCACCCAAACACAAACCACCCTTCCAAGAGAAGAGTGGGTAAACAAAACACAACACGAAATACAAAACACAAACAAAAAGACAAGATAGAAAATGCTAGAGTAACACTGAGCGACTTTTTCAAAATAATGGACCGCGGACCGCGGTTCCCCGACAACGGCGCCAAAAACTTGACTCGCACGAAACTACACCGCGAATTAATCCCGACAAGAGCCCAAGTTTTTAAACTCTAGTTGGATGCAATATAGGGCAAGTATTTAAATTGTCGACCCGGGCCGATCCATGTACCCCTACTTCAATCGTTTAAGTTGTTATCTAGCAAAACGGTTTTGGGTTTAAAAATAAGAAAACTACAAACTAAACAAACAAGGAAAGTAAATGGAGGAGAATTCAACTCGAGAGGACTTCACCCGGGTAGATGCTTCTTCTATTCTTTTCTTTGGCCCAGTTGGGCCATCCTGGACTTGAACCAGAGACCTCACCCATGAAGTAAATCATCGCACCTACGGTCCAACCAATTAACCAATTGGGAGAGAATCAATAGAATTGCTCCTCCTAGTCTCATGCTAAGAAGCGACAAACAAAGCTCTTGTGTGAAGGACGTGTTCATACACCACGAGATGAGTGCAACTAGCTAGGGACAAACTCCCTTAGTCGACCAATGAAGGAAAATCAACAAATATAAGCTAGGAGAACTAGCTCTCTTAACCGTTAGGTTAAGGATTGTGATTCATAGCTAGGGAACCTAGCCCTCTTCACCGATCAACCAAGGAGATCCCTAACTCTCTTAGTTAGCTAATTGAGAATCGTTGCAACAAGTTAGAAAGCTAACTCACTTAACCTTTCGGCTAAGGGTGACAACGATAGGCTAGGAAACCTAACCCTCTCGACTAGCCGACTAAGGATGGGAAACCAAACCCTCGGAACTTAATCCGGTCGGCGGAGAGACCAATCCCGGTGGAATCACGATCCTACTCCGATACTTGAGATTTTGGTCTTAAATCGACCTAAAGGAGATTACCCAAGTGGCTAAGAAGTCTAGCTTCCTATTGGACCAAAAGGGGATTTCCACCCTCTAGGTCAATTTTACCCAATATTAAGTTAAAGCTAGCACACTTAATCATTCATGAATAATACCTCAAATATTATATAAAACACTCAATCAACACAATAGGTTCATGTTCTTACATCCTAACACATAAAGAGACTAGGATTCACAATACCAAAGTGAGTAGGTGGGCTATTCCATAGCTAGACAAGAGAAAACAACAAAAGGGGAAGAAAGAACTATGAAGTGATGCCAATCTCTCCTCCTTGTTGCTTGAGACACCCTTGAGTTGAATAAATATTATATCCTCTAGCTAGGTACAAGCCCAAAGCTCCTTCCTCCTCCTTTGATTTGCACTTTCTCACTCTAGAAGAAACCATAACCTCTCACTAGAATCCTCTTTATTCTGAAAAATGAAAACCTAACCTAAAAATGAAGCTCCCCCTCTTCTTCCATCAGCTCTCCATTTATACTGAGATCGCACCTAGTTCACGACCTTCCAATTCACGTCCGTGAACACCAAAACGCGTTCGTGAACTCAGTGTCGTGGCCAAAATGCACCGCTTCAATTCTCGGGGTTCACGGTTTGTGCTCAAAGTTCACGGTCTTAGCAACCGTGAACTGCCTTGTCGTCAGTAAACTCTGGAACCCCCTGAACGCCTCGCTGTTCACGGTTTGTTGTTCCAGTTCACGGTCCTGGCGACCGTGAACTCATAGCTCTGATCGTGAACTATGGCTGGTTCCTGGAAGCCTGCGCTTCACTGATACAGGACAATTGTCACAGTCACTTTGGACTTTTCTTCAGTTTTTGCGCTTTTTGACCTCCAATCATCCCGAAACTCGTTCTCGACCCTATGCTTGAGTAGACAATAGCCTACGGTCTATGTGAGGAGTATATCTTAAATTATCTTTTTTTTTTTATTAGCTATCTTAAATTATCTTAACCTCAATGCAGAGAGTAAAAATATAATAGCCTCCTTGGTTTGATCCTAAAAGCATTTGGAACAGTAAAACAGAGGAATTCTTTTTTATCATTGTGTTCATTCAACGACCACGAGTGCTTTGCGCCTCGATCTAGTGGCACAATGTCTGTTAGCACATGCTAGTAGGCTATTATGTTAGCACCATAGTCGGGTTCCAGTTGGCCGACCCAAGTCGTTTTGGCCTCCTTACTGAGCCCATCCAGTAGCCGCCCAACCTCCATAATTGTCTCTCGTTCTACAATTTCAAATAAGTTGTCTCACAAACCATTTCGACAACCACAACGAGGAGCTTGTTCAGTTCCATTTCACAGAGACCGAATTCAATCGCTTGAAACTCTTGTATCTATGGTGACCATGGATTCCTATCTCGTCTGGCCGTTGCCATAAGAAATTCTCCTGATGCATTTCTCACAACCATAGTTACTAAATACTCCGTTTAACACACGTATATGTACCTGTACGTAATTTATCCGTTTAAAACTTCCGTATCCATATTATTGTCAAGTCGTTTCATTTCTTTCCGTTCATTTGATGGCTCTCGTACTAAACACGTATAACAACCGTATTACACGTTTAATATCCGTACTAAATACTCCGTTTAATACACGTATATGTATCTGTACGTAATTTATCCGTTTAAAACTTTCGTATCCATATTATTGTCAAGTCGTTTCATTTCTTTCCGTTCATTTGATGGCTCTCGTACTAAACACGTATAAAAACCGTATTACACGTTTAATATCCGTATTTAATGAATTAAATGGTTAACTTTACTATTATTTATATATTATTATATTATATTAATTTTAAAATAATTAATTTTATATATTTATGATTATTAACGTATTATTAAATACATTAGGTTAGAGATGAAGTAAGATACTTGAACGTATTTTACACGAACTTTCTCGTACCGTATTTTACTAACTATGCTCCCAACCACTTCAAGTCCAATCCCTTTCCTAGTCAAGTCCGCCACATCCACATTTAGCTAGTGTTAAAAATCGTACCCAATCGTCCGGACGGATCGAAAATACTAGGTACCGAACCTCAAACCAATAAACAATTTTAAAATGATTTAATCATATTTAAATCACGATTTTATTACAAAATATTATATCACCAAAATTTTCTGTATAACCTCGAAACTATTTCACAATCTCCATCCCGTCGGCGACCTATTAGCAAACAAATTTGAAGAAAAATGATATTCAGACTAATTACTGGTATTCTTAGAAAAAACAAGAACTAATTACTGGCGAAAAGAAAAAGAAAAAAGATTTGGTGGCCAAATGTTCCCGCCAAACTTTACTAGCCTAGGCGGAAAGAAATGGGGGCGATTCTAGGGATTCGGAAAAGCCGAAAAGCCCTGGAATCCAATCGGCATCCCATTGCCACAGCTCCTGGGGTCGACGGAAGCAAATAAATTCCGTCGATCAGAAAATGACTGCTCGCCAGATTGGTTAAGGTCGAAGGAAGAGGAAGAAGAAAAAGAGAGCGAATCAAAGAAATGGGGATACAGGGGCTTTTGCCCCTTTTGAAGTCGACGATGCAGCCAATCCACATCAAAGACTTACAGGGCTGTTGCGTTGCTGTTGATACCTACTCTTGGCTTCACAAAGGCGCCTTGTCCTGCAGCACGGACCTCTGCAAAGGGCGACCCACCTCCAGGTCTCTTTACTTCCCTCTACAGAACCCAGTCTTCATTTCGCTGATTTCGTTTCCGTCTATTGGGTATTCTATTTGCCTTCGTGTTGTGGGAGAAATTGTCAGTGAGGTTTCAAATGGGTAAACTCTGAATGTGTATCGCTTACTCCAATTTGGCGCATTTGAATTGCCAATTGTTTTTTTTATTGGATTGCCAATTGTTGATGTATCTGTTTTTGTTTCCTTTGTGTTAGGCACATTGAGTATTGCATGCACAGGGTGAATTTGCTGCGGCACTATGGTGTTAAACCTGTTCTCGTCTTTGATGGAGGTTTTCTGCCGATGAAGCTTGAACAAGAAAACAAGCGAGCAAGGTAGTATCTGTAATTGCTGTAATTCGTCAGATGTCAATGTGGGTTCTTTTGATTGTTGTCTGTGATTTAACCAAGAAGCTGTCTTGAGGTCTGAGTTTATCCGCAGCTTGCTGATGTTAGCTGCTAGAGAACTTGTTAAGCATGGGGCATTGAAATAAGGCGACATTCGTGACTTCATGTACCTTTACGATTACAGGTCAAGAAAGGAAAACCTTGCTCGTGCAATTGAGCATGAGGCTAATGGAAATTCTACTGCAGCATATGAGTGCTACCAGAAGGCTGTTGATATATCGCCTTCAATTGCGCATGACCTAATCCAGGTAGAAATAAGAAAGATGGATGTCTACATGTGTTGCTCTTATTATCTTCTTGCTAGTTGCTTCTATAACTCAGTTATTAACATGATTGTACGTGAAGGTCTTAAAGCAAGAGAATGTATCATATGTTGTGGCTCCTTACGAGGCAGATGCACAAATGACATTTTTGGCAGTAAATAAGCAAGTGGATGCAGTTATAACTGAGGACTCGGATCTTATAGCATTTGGATGTCCTAGAGTGAGTTAACTGGTCACTGATTTTCTTGAACTAATAACTTACTACCACGTCGTCTATTTGTTACCACATAGTCTCAATCTTCGATGGAGCATGCTAATCAGCTTTCAATACAGATCATATTCAAGATGGACAAGTATGGGCAAGGTGTTGAGTTTCAGTATTCCCGGCTTCACAAGAACAGGGAATTATGTTTGGCTGGATTTACTAACCGAATGGTTCTAGAGATGTGCATTCTGAGTGGTTGTGACTATTTGCAGTCACTGCCTGGTATGGGCCTGAAAAGGGCTCATGCATTAATTTCGAAGTTCAAAAGTTACGAGAAGGTACGTCTTTCAACAACACCACACGCCTGTCAAACTAGATGAACGAAGCTTGTGAACTTTGTACCCCATCCATACATGAAGTAAATCTCATGGTTGTCTTAGATGAAACTTGATAACTAATGCATCTAAATTATTTGTGATTGATGATTCAACTGAAATCAGGTAATCAAGCATTTGAGATATAGCACAGTCACTGTTCCTCCTCTCTACGAAGAATTATTCAGGAAAGCAATATTAACTTTCCAGCATCAACGGGTGTATGATCCTGTTGCTGAGGATATTGTACATTTGTCTGACATTCCTGAAAGCCAGGATGGTGATGCAGACTTTCTTGGCCCATATCCTTTAAATTTCTTATCTTGTTGGCCTATTACTCTGAGTTTATCATACTTGGATAATCATGTTGTCTCGTTTCTGAGTTTATCCTTAATGTGGAAATACACGGATTCCACAAGATGTGGCCAAAGGTATTGCTACAGGTGATCTGGATCCGTTTACCCAAATGCCATTCCAGGTATTCCATCTCTCCTCCCTCCTTTCTGGTTCTCCATGTTTGCGCCTGCTCAATGTTTCTTCCCTCTTTCTTAATACTAACTGGATACGTTCTACAAAAGCAGGGAAGGATTGCAAATGCTGCAGCTGGGCTTAGTGGAACTTCCAAAGTCAAGACCTCTAAGCCTGAAAGTACAGCACATAAGATTGATCTGCCAGTGCAGAAGAATCTCCTGACTAATTACTTTTGTATCCTTAACAAGTTCTCTATAAACTTTGACCATATATTTGTTGCTTTTAGCGATTATACTATGCCATAAGGTGGTCTTTAAAAAGTCGGTTTCTCACTCCCATCTTTATTACCTGTCCATTACAATGATTACCTTGCTTCTTGGTGACAAGAGTATCCTAGGTGCATATTCATATTATTACCTGCCTTTATGCTTATGTTGTCTAGAGCTAGTTTATATCATGATTTCTTTAACTGTACTGAAAGGCTTTGCATCTATTGAAGCCAAGAGAAAATTCAAGGCACCTCGGAAGTCACCTACGAGTACAATTGCATTGGATATGTCTTCCCTAAAAGATTATTGTGATTCTGGTCGAATTAGCTGCTCTTCACCATCCGACCTTAACTCTGAGAAACTGTCTACCATATCTCCTCATGCTATGGTAAGTGGAAGTGAGTGAGCATTCGAACAGTTTCATTTTGACTTCCTATTGGCTTCGATTCATTACTTTCACGTCATTAGTTAAGTCCTTGTTTCATTGCAGGTGGAAAGCCAAGGCGAACCCAAGTTTTTTGAACCTCCAAGTTCTGGTAAGGGTGCAACTTCTTGTCAATAGGACAAAGAACTCAATTATATTTCAAGTCTTATTTACACCATTACCATGCACTGATGACAAACAGTACTGGAGAAAGAAAGCATGGGACATATGCCCCTCAAAGCTTTTAGGCAATCACTGAATCAATCTGGTCAAGCGATACTGAAAGAGTGTGATTCCAAGAACTATCAAAGTACAGCCCAAGGAGTGACGCAAGGAGCAGAACGCAGAAAGGTCATTGTCAGGAGTCGTTACTTCCAACATAAGCCCATTAACGCAGACAGCCACGGGAGTATTGAAGAGAGAGCTCACGGCAGTTACAACGTTTTGAGTGATCTGTCCAAAGGAAAAGGTGTTTTGAGTCTTTCTGCCATGGCAGAGAAAGAAGCCAATGGTGCAGAGAGCAGACAAGAAAGTCTACTAAATGTGGATGTAGACAGTGAGGAGCACATAATAGAACGCAAAAAGGTCATTGTTCGGAGCCATTACTTCCAACATAAGCCCATTAACAAGGACAGCCAAGATAGTAGCATTGAGAGAGCTCATTGCAATAACAATATTTCCTGTGATCTGTCCAAAGAGGACGATGATCTGAGTCTTTCTGGCATGACTGAGAAGAAGACCGAAGTTGCAGAGAGCAGGCAAGAAAGTATACTAAAAGGGGATGCATACAGTGACAGAGAACAAGAGGGTATTGCATTAGAAAGTGCTGGTTTTGGTGAAAATAATACCAATGAAAGCACATTGAAAAGAAAGACCTCTCAGAACGGCAACACGGATAAAGTGAGTATTTTTCTAGCTAATTAAGATACTTCTCTGCATCTTATTGATTTTCTTGTAAACATTTAAAAGAAGTTAAATACATCTCTCTAATGCTTCAGGCCAAGAGAAGATCCATCTACTTCTGCAACAATGCTTCTTCTCCTCCTCCTACTCCTCCTGTGGAACTCGGTGAGTTTCTCACCAAGAACACATTAAATCTCATAAGCTCAATGAAACATTAGTATGACATTTTCCTCAATTCTTCGTCTGTCGACAAGGTGGTGGTTGCTCTTCCTTTGAGACTGATGAAGAGCTCACAGAGAAGGAATCTGGAGGAGGCAAATTCGGAGCCAACATCGAGCATTTGAGCCAATATTCCAAGATAGCAGAGAAGTCAGTGGACAGATTTGCATCGATGCTGTCATCGTTTAGATACTCGTCTTCTGGTTCTCGTGCTAGCGGTCTCCGAGCCCCTCTGAGGGACATCAAGAACACTTGTGCCAGCAGGTAAGAAATTCCGTATGCCTTGCTTGGGATTTGGGAATCATTATTATTATATAACATAGTGACGTAAAAATCTCACCTTGGTGACTACTCTGTGTGTTGGAAGGTCAACAAGTGTTCCCGACTTCACCAAGTTTGCTTATACCCCAAAGAACAAAGGGACTGCTGCTTCATCCAAGAGAAGATAAAGTGAACATTGAAGCATGCGGTCACTGTTTGGCTGTTTTTGAGTTTCCATTAGAGATCTGCCGTCACTATTTGAAGATGTTAGACTGCAAATGAGAACAGTTCTATCATTTAGAAGAATGCTAAGATAGGTCTGATGCCATTAATACTTGCTCCAATTTGGTAGTAACACAAATGATTCTGTAAACGGAGTACTGCTGCACTCTTAATATTCACAATCTGATAGTTATCCTACAATTTTCCTGGTAGGTACAAACTGAACTTCTGCCTTGCTTTAATGTTGTCGTAATGCTTTTTAGATAAAGATTGATCAAAATCAACCACACCTTCTGGTGGTATAAAAATGGCTCTCTTTTCTCATAAATTACATTTGACATGGACACACATTAAATTGTATGATGTATATAATTATGCCCATAAATTAGTTGTAATTACGTTCAATTTTAACGTTGGAATTGAAGCAATATTTGATTGTTTGGATGATTCTCCGCGGGATATTTTTTAGGCATAAAAATACAAAATAATTGATAATATTAATATGAAAATACATTAGACATAATGATTTTATGATTCTTTTATTAACCATCCATCCCTAACCATGTATTATTGTGGTTCTATTTCATAATCGATTAGTGTGAAAATTCTAGCTAAAAGTCGCATAGCAGGGAAATTATGACAATTTAATTAATTATCCATTCATAAGCATGTGTGACATGATGTGTTGTTGTAATCCAATTTCATTTTATATTTTATGACTTTTTTGTGTGTGATTTATTTTATGATTATTAACGAACTATTAGACACACTACATATTTGATATCCGTATTTAATAAATGTAATTAATGATTTAGATATTATTTTTATAATCAGATATTTTTAAAATAATTGATTTAATATATTTTATAACTATTAATGAACTATTAAACATACTATTAATTTATAAATGAAGTAAAAATACTTCCAGGCCCCTCTTTAATTGATCTTAACTTCGTAGATAGCAAAGACAATAATTACCGAGCCATACGTAATGGGTTATTATAAACTTATACAGTTATACCGTCCTCTAGAAGCCCAACTAATTATGAACTATAATAAATTGACCAACCGGCCCCGTACTCTTCTCAGGATGCAGGATAAATTGAATTAAGGGGGTGATGTAGGAATGACAATGGGCAGGTTCGAGGTGGGTATCTCAATATACATATCTGTCCCCGTGGCAGGTTGGGTACAGGTTGGTTGGGTACAGGTCGGGTAATTTATCATGGGGCGTGGGTCGGGGCAGGTCGACCCAATAAGTATGTAATTTATGTGAAAACGTTAGAAATATTCGTTATTTTCATTAAAATACCAAGAAAGAAACCATTATATGATAAAATGTAGTTAAGTTATTGGAGAAATTGGGGTTTTTACTTATTTACAACTTTATTATAACTAAAATATGATGTAATAAGAAGAGAATCTTAAGTAATTTAACTAAGATTACAAGTAATTTAGGGAGGAACGGGTCAAGAATGGGGCAGGTCGGGACAGGTCGGGTCGATGAGAGATACCCATATCCGCCCCGCCCCGCCTACAGGACGGGTCGGACCTGCTCCAAAACAGGCCAAACAGGTTGGGTAAATCGGGTCAAGTCGAAATTGTCATCCCTATGATGATGGAGGAGAACCTCCTTGTATTGATTGTTTGATTAGTTTTGAACCTAAAAGAACTAGATTCGGATCTTTTAAATAGTAACTAACCATAAAAAGTAAGTTTATTTCACTTAAAAGAAGGGTTAATTGTATGGTTGGTCACTGAGATTACAAAAACCGTTCATGTTTGGTCACTGGAAATATTTAAATCCAACCTTGGTCACTCAAATTAGTTAAATGGTTCAAATTTGGTCACTCTCCGTCCAACTCCGTTAAATTTGTCTGATGTGGCAGTCAACCCTCAAAGTTGACCGTTAACTCAGTGACGTGGCAATTAAAAAATAATAAATAAAACAAATTTGAGGGTTGACTGAGAGTGACCACCGTCATCCTCTACGACCTCGTCTGCGCCGGCAGTGTCAACCCCGAGTCCCCGACTACTTCGACTTCCACCGCTACACCACCCTCGACTACTTCGCTTCTCTGCTGCTCAATTTTACAAAAGAGGAAAAATACCCTAGATCAATCAAAAGGGGAAGTGAAACATCAGCATTCTTATCTGGGTCCAAATGTAATAAAGCAAAACCCCCAATCCCAATTGAAAAGCCAGAGTCTTTAGCCCAAGTCTGCCAATTATCTAACCTGTTTTGGTTCTGAATCGGATTCGACCAGGTTGGAATCTCCAGTTTTCCATAGCTGCACGGAATCCATCCAGCTCTTCTTGTTCATCATCTCCCCTTCTTCTCCATCTCCTTGACCAGCAGCAGCTCGATCGTTCAATTCCTTGCAACGCAACGCTTCCTCCTTCAATTTCAGAATCGCTGCAGTCAAAAAAGAAGAAACCCCCCAACAAAAAACAAAAGAGATGAGAAGGAATGGAGCAGACCCAACAAAAAAAGTAACAGCAGAAGGAAGAGAAAGCGAAATGAGATCCCCGTGTTACCATCGTTCAAAAGGAGCATGCAGAGAGGAAGCTCCCGGCGGAACACCTCGATCTTCCGGCGCTCATCTTCCAATCTGTTGACGTAATCGTCAAGCCTGGACAACTTCTGACCAACATCCTTGACTTTGGCGACCTCTTTCAGACACTCGGCGCCGGTTTTGGAGACATGGATCAGACCCAAATCCAAGCTCAGCTCCATTTCTCTTTGCTTCTGGGTTTTTCTCTTTTTCAGGCGGATTCAGGGTGGAGCATTGAGTGAGAGAGAGAGAGAGAGAGAGAGAGACTGGCCCAGGTCAGGTGAGCAGCGACGGATGGGATTTTGAGCCGATGAAGAAGAAGAAAGCGGTTTTATATTGTGGGAGAAGAAAAGGAAAGGAAAGAAAATTTCAGATTCAGAGAGACGCGAAGATTCGGCGACCGCTGTGGGCGTCGAGGATGTTGAGGAGGTCATCGACGTAAGGGTCGAGGGTGGTGTAGCGGTGGAAGTCGAAGTAGTCGGGGTTGACGCTGCCGGCGTAGACGAGGTCGTCGAGGATGACGGTGGTCACTCTCAGTCAAACCTCAAATTTATTTTATTTATTATTTTTTAATTGCCACGTCACCGAGTTAACGGTCAACTTTGAGGGTTGACTGCCACATCAGACAAATTTAACGGAGTTGGACGGAGAGTGACCAAATTTGAACCATTTAACTAATTTGAGTGACCAAGGTTGGATTTAAATATTTCCAGTGACCAAACATGAACATTTTTTGTAATCTCAGTGACCAACCATACAATTAACCCCTTAAAAGAAAGGTGTAGTCGTGTAGGATAACTTTGCCCAACAAATATCACAATGGAGTTGGATTCCATGGATAAATTGTTGGATTATTATATACTCTCGCCTAGGGCTGGGAATTCGGTCCGGATTTTTCGGTCAAACCGGAAACCGGGCAGTTTAAACTGTTCCGGTTGTAACCGGAAACCGGATTCTCATTAATCCAATCCAGTTTGCGGTTTGAGGTTGAGGGTAAATAACCGCCCCGGTCCCGGTCCAGTTTTACCCGGTTTTAACCGGAAACCGGATAACAGACCCAAGACTAAGCCCAGCCCAAGCCACACCTCCTTACTGTGAAGCCCGAGACCCATGCCCAAACCACAGTCCCAAACCCATGCCCGACCTAGTGAAAGCCAACCCAAGCCCCACCTCTTTAGTTTTGAAGCCCGACCCAGTGAAGCCCAGCCCAAGCCCCACCTCTTTAGTTTTGAAGCCCGAAACCCATAACCCCACCCACAACCCTAACTCCTACAGCCGCCGCTCTCCTCTCCTTCTTCCTCTCTCGATCTTAAACTCAATCTCTCACCCCTCTCACCCACGGCGACGACGACGACGACGACCTCGGCTGTCTAATCGTCGGCTCTCACTCCAAAAGAAGAAGAAGAAGAAGAAGAGAGGAGAAGGACTCCGAAGACACAACCCGTCGATGATTATTGATTCCCATCTCGAGCTTTTCTCCGTCGGGTTCTGCATGCGCCAAATACACCGCCGATCTATCTCCTCTAATCTCCCTCACACTCCGCCGCTTTCTTTTCTTGCTTCACCGCTTCCTCTTCTTCGTTCTCTCTCGAGACTATGTTGGCGGAGGCGGCAAGTTCGTGAGTAGCTCTATTGGCGGAGGTGAGGTCGACGATGAAGGGGCAGGGGCAGCTCTGTTCGGAAAAATTCAAGGACGGGAAGGGGCAGCTCTGTTGGCGGAGGCAAGATCGACGAGGATACGGTGATGATGGAGAAGACATGAAAAGAAGGGTTGAGATTTTGGGAGGAAGAAAGAGAAGGAAAGTAAATGAGGGTTGAGAGGGATCTGGTGGGTTTCTCTGTGGGATTGGAAATGAAAGTGAGAATTTGGAGATGGTGGGTTTTCGGGAGAGAATGAGGTGAAGAGCGGCTGTCGTTTTGGGAGAAAGGAAAAGTTCCGGTTTTTTGGTTGAAACCGGACCGGACCGGATTCAATCCAGTCCGGTCACGGTTGAAACCGGCTCCCTATCCAATCCAATTTCCGGTTGCTGTCTTGGTCGAAACGGTTTTAAAAAACCGGGTTAATCCGGTCCAGTTTTAACCGGACCAAACCGTTTCCCACCCCTACTCTCGCCATCTGCGATTTCTCTCTTACGTTGAGACAAAAAAAAAATCGCAATCCACTCTTAACTTTGGACTAATCCTCCTCATTTCCTGCTGCTAATATTGTACCTTCTAATTATACCAATAGTTCCTACAATTACCCACCAACTACATACACTATATATAGCGCAATACAAAATGCACTCTTTAATGTGAAGGAACTATCCCATTTGAGCAAAAGGAAACCCCCACAAATTTTCACTTGCCCTTTCTAACTGTTTAATTAGTGTCGACGTACGATAGCGGAGGAAGATGAATTTTATCAGTTTCTATACATTAGTAGTAGAGTACTCTAACTATACAAGCAACTTTCATTTTCGATAAACGACGAAGACAAAAAAAGCGGTATGCGACGACGTGAGGATTCAAACGACATCCTGTTACGTTCATGCATGCATATGCATGCATGTAGATTGAGTTAAGTTTATTTCCTTGGGAGTTTATCATATTCTCGATTCGTTCACTTCCTACAAGTAACAGACTTCAAATTCACTTCTTGGCTTATTCACAACCCACGTCCCTTAGGGCAGTAATTGGATCCAAAGAAGCACGTAAAGACCAAATTATAGTTTATGTTGTGATATACGTACGTGTCGT